CCCCCCCTTCCCTCCTTACACACTCTTTTACTGTTAGGCCAAATGCTACTTTGGAATCTTATTGTTATGACGACATACCTTCTTGTAGCCTTTACTTTTAGCACAACTAGCAAAATGAGTATAGGACTGCTGGCAGCGAACTTTTGAAATTAAACTGATGCAGCATAAATTGACTGTATTGACTGGAGCAAAACCTGCTCTTCCTAGACCGTATGTCATATATTGGAATGTTAGAGAATAAAATAATAACGTGCCTTCTTGCGAGTGTAGATGGATCATGCACGACATGACAAAACATACAAGGACAGACCACTGAAATGGCTTCCTTCTTGAGAGTAGGTTAAGTCCAGATACCCTGCATATATAAGCTACTAAGCTGAAGAAGGAAGACTCCTGTATAGCTTGCAAACTTGTAGTTCATTTGTGAACACAACTTTCTAAGCTAAATTCTGGGGAAAAGGCACTCATGCAGCTGTTAGCTCCTTGCAATTTTTTTTGAAAAGTTTTCTTAAGGTTTTGTAGAGTTTTGGGTCTTTCTTAGTCATCTGCTATTTTTTTTTAATATCAGGACTTCAAGTTAAGGCAGAAGAAAGTACCATGCAGTGGTACCAGCAGCTTCAAGATGCTGCTGAGCAGTGTGTTGCTTCTTTCAGTGGAATCAGCAACTGCAAAGACAACAATGAGGTATGAACAAATGATTAATACTGCTGAAGAGTGATTATCTTAATTTCTAGGGGAAATAGGACAGCTTTCATTTAAACAAAAAAAAAATTTAAAAATTCTAACTTAGCAGCCTCTGTTAACAGTCTGCTCATCCAAACTATCATAGTAGTTTACTTGTCTGTGAAGGTTTTTAAAGTTGTTTGTTTGTTCTGCAGGTTAAGAAGATAAAAACAGACTTGCAGAAAGCAGCTACGATCCCTGTGAGCCAGATCTCTAGAATAGCAGGTCAGGAAAATGCCAAGAACCCAATCCAACTGAAATGCCTTTTGCTGTAAAGATTTTAGTAGGATACAACATATCCAATGTTTCTGTAATTACCCCCACTGCAGAAATCTGGTATGCATACAGTCCAAGTCTTTGCAGCAGTGTTAAGTGCTTATGTTTTGAAGGTCTCTTGCTTCCCTCAGAGGCATCTTGCTTCATCATGATTCAGTTTCTTTAATCAGATATAGTAAACGTGCGGTTTGAGATGCCTTGCCCTTCAGGATGTAGGTCTAGTTTTGTGAAGTTGATGTGGTCTGGTTAAGGCTTGTCTGCTGTTTCCTAATCTTCTGTCTCCGTACATTCCTTATGTATTTGCAGGCTCTCAGCTGAGAGAGATATTTGACAAGATCAATAACCTGCTCTCTGGAAAGCCTGTTCAGAGTGGAGGGCGAACTGTATCAGTGACTCAGCATCCACAGGGTCTGGATTTTGTTTATTACAAACTTGCGGAGAAATTTGTGGTGAGGAAATGCTCTCTTCATTGAGGTGGCAAAGGTAGCTAGTGCTTTAAGAAGTTCTTAAACTTCTTAAGTTTAAACTTCTTAAGTGTCCTCTGTCTTCAACTACTAAGAACAAAATTACTAGGTGTTTAGCTTGCATGTATTAATGTTCATATTAATTAGAGAAAGTGGTTTGTGGATTAAAAAAAAAGTGAAAGATTTTTTCCCTCCACTCCCCTATTTTATCTCTTCTAGGAGGAAGAACTATTTTAAATTCCAGGCTTACATGTTACATATTCTGAACTAGTTGGGCACAGTGTTAGTGGAAAACAGGTTGATAATTAATTTATGCTCTATCGCAAAACTGTATATATGCTCAAAACCTTACATCTTGGCAGAATTGGGGGTGAAAAATAAAAAAAGCTAAGGGCCAAGAGGGAAACTTCTGTCCCTGCTGTGTAGTTAGCACCTCCCAAGAAATGAAGTGTCACTGTTGCTTCAAAAAGTTGCTTTTTGAAGTTGGCAGTATTTTTTTCTAGTCTATTTGCTAAATTTGGGCTGTTTGAAATTTTCTTTTGTCCCTGCAGTGACAAATATATGCAAAAACTAGCTCATGGAGTAAAACTGTGACTGATTTGTAAACATTTTAAAATGATTGTTTGGAGTGAAAATATCTGCGCAGCCTTGCACTTTGTGCCTGAATTTGCTAACCTCTTTTTTTTTTTTTGTCCTGAGCCAAAGTTTATTGTCATCCTCTGTGGGAGCTGAGGACATGCGGCTTTATCAGCTGTTGGCTACATAGCCATGGAAACATTAGGATCCTTTAGCAGAGGCTAATTACACAAAAAAGAGGATTTTTTTTTGTCTGAGAAGTGGCTTGAAGGAGTGGGGACTGACTTTCCTTTCCCCCCTCCAGAATCAAGGAGGAGAAGAAGTAGCTTCTCACCGTGATGCAGCTTTCCCAATTGCAGTGGTGGCCTCAGGAATCTGGGAAATACACCCTCGAGTTGGAGACCTCTTTTTAGCTCATCTGCACAAAAAGTGCCCCTATTCTGTGCCATTTTACCCTGCATTGAAAGAGGGGACTTCTATGGAAGAGTATCAGAGGTAAATTTACTACTGGACTTCTTCAGCATGAACCCTGCAAGGGTGAAGACTGTATTCTGAGTGAACTCTGCTTTTCCCCATCGCTGGTTACGTAGGCACTGTGATGTGCTGGCGTAGACTCTGGAGATTCACTCACAAGCGTGCAGCTCCCCTGACCCTGTTTCCCTGGAGGATGCTGCGTCCTTCAGCTTTGGAAGTGCTCTTTTGCTTCTTCTTCCTCATCCTTCTCAAAGAACAGTTGATAGCCATAGCTTGATTCAAGCTGAAATACCCAGTACAGAACCTAAATATTCTACATGGTGTAAAATAGTGAAACATATGATCCAGAGGATAATGATCAGCCTTTGCAATAATTCTTGTATGGTTTTGGCGTATCCCTATTCTCAGTACTCAGTGACTGAAAGTAAGCTGAGAACTGCAGGGACTCAAGTGAATGTGTTTTGCTGTACTAATACTGGAACGTCTTCTCATACTTAGGATGCTTGGATATCAAGTTAAGGATTCTAAGATGGAAGAGCAAGATCATTTTCTTAAACGAATGTCAGGAATGATTCGTCTTTATGCTGCTATCATTCAACTCCGGTGGCCTTATGGAAACAAACAGGGGGTATGCGTGTATGGCATTATAATTAAAACCTTTTTACTATCCCAAGAGTCTATTAAATGTGTTGTAAACTTGATTTGTAGTTAAGGTGTGCTGAACTTAAACCAGCTTATAATATATTTGAAGGGAGACGGTCATAACCATAATCAACAAAGCAATGCAAAGTTCATTTGCAGTGTAGACTTTTACTTCCTTTCTTTATATTTTCATAATGATCAAGTTTTATGTTAGGCTATTGTAAAATAACTTCATAAAGGAGAAAGTAAACCAGAAGACTGCCTGTTTTGATAATAGCATTTTGCAAGTCGTAAAACAAGTGGTAGGCAGCTTTTTTTGTTGCTTTATAGGCACATCCTCATGGGCTGAACTATGGATGGCGCTGGCTTGCTCAGATGTTGAATATGGAGCCTCTGGCAGATGTTACAGCCACACTTCTTTTTGATTTTCTGGAGGTGAGTGATGTGGATTACTAATGATTAAAGAGCTCTAAATTGGTGACATTGTAGTTTTTGAAGGGATTGCTGAGGTGAGGTTCACTGTGATTTTTAACAGCAGGGTTTTTTTAACTTGTCCTTATTCCTTCAGAGAGAAATGGGAATATTTCCACATTCTTGCAAATATAGCTTTGGAGCTGAATGATTTAAAAACAGAAGTTTTTATACATGCAACTTCTGTTGTTGTATTCGGTTTTGGTAAGGTTCCTGGTATTTTAAAAATAGTTGCATGGTCCTATTAAGAATAAGGTCTGCTAAGCACTTGGCATCAGTTCGTACAATGCAATGAGGTCCTCTGGCCTTTCCAGCTGAAATTACTTCATAAAACAGGATGGGTTTTTCAGGTTGAAAAGGACAGAGCCTGATGTGTATTAATCCTATACCCTAAGATACAGGGCTGTGCTAAATGAGAGCCAGAGTTAAAGGCTGAAGTCAGGGGAGACAAACGCTGTTGAACACAAGCAGCTTCTATGCTTATCAAATGCCTTCTAAAGAACTTCAGAAGTAGAAATGAGAAAGTAAAGTGCAAAGTGAAATACACAGTGAAGTCTGAGCAATGTTTGTCTTGTAAACCGACTGTACGAAGGAGGCTGATGAATCCACACTGAAGTAGTCAAGATGGGGAAATGACCACAGTATGCCCTTAGCACATGGTGTGAGGGAAGGCTGTTGTTTCTGGAGGGAGGCTGGAGTGAGAGGAGGAATAACCTAAGATTGGTAGCAGTGGCCACCACACAGTCAACAGGAAAAAAAGGTGATTGTGGTAGCAGTAATGGCATTTAGAGGATTTGTGTGTTTTACTGTAGGTGTAGGTATATTTCGTTAAATGTCTGGATAAAATATCAAGTGGTTGATATTGAACAGGTTCATTGAAGTTGTCATGCTAGTCTGAAACCCAATTCTGGAACCTGGTCTTTGTGGATTTCTGTACCACAGGTGTGTGGCAACGCCCTCATGAAACAGTATCAGGTTCAGTTCTGGAAAATGATGTTGCTTATCCGAGAAGACTATTTCCCAAGGTATGATACCTGTGGTTAGGAATGTGAAATAATCCTTGTTTTTCACTTCCTGAGTGTGTGCTCTTAAATGACTTATCCATCTTTTCCAATCTCTGCCGTTCACCCCCACCCCCACTTGTAAATCAAACCCAACTTTCTAAGTAGATTTTGAAACATGCTGTTATTTCTGCAGAATTGAAGCAATTACCAGCTCTGGACAGATGGGCTCTTTAATGCGTTTCAAGCAATTCTTGGAGGTAAAGCTTTTTTTTTTTTTTCCAGTTTTCAAACGTTCTGGTGTTTTTTCCCTTCGTTCGATATATGCATCATAATAATGAGGCTGGTGCTGCTTGCAGCATACCTGATAGCCCCGACCCATCACAATGATGTAACCCGTCTTTTATAACTTTGCAGTTACTGAATTACCTTAATGATAGTTATGATGTCAAACATCATCTTTCTTACCTCACAATTAATTTTTCTCAGTGAAAATATATTTCGATTATGAATGAAGTTCAGTGAGACTAGTTGCAGTGAGAGGAGATGTACAGGTTGAGGAAGATTCTGCTGAGTCATTTCTGTAATAGCTATTTTTTATTAGTGGTTTGCTTATTTTTATCTGTTGTCCTGATTAGATACATGAGGAAGTAGACAGTTTGAACCGCTTTCTGTAGCGTTTGTTTAGCATTGTATTCCGCATCTTTTTTTTTTTAAAGAAAGCTTGCAAAACTGTAAAATACTTGATTATTTAAATTGTTTTGTGAATGTTGACTTAGATTATGATATTAAAATACGATAGCTTCAGAGTTTGTACTTTCATTTCAAAATTAATTTTGGTACATTTTATTAGCAATGCTTTGAATGTGTGCAGTAAGAGCCATCAAAATTCCTGTGAAGAGATGGCAAATTAAAATACACATTTCTTTTTCCTTTGTTCTTTGTCTTTCTCTCTCCACTAGGAATGTCTACAGCAGAAGGAAATTCCATTACCAAAGGGCGCTCTGCAGTCTTCCTTTTGGAGATCATAAATCAGTTTATATTTCTTCCCTCCTGGATGTCAGTGCTTTCAGACCTGGCTTCCCGTTTACATGTAAAGGCAAAATAAATGTATTTTGTATATAGAGGAATGAGGAGAAAATATTCCATCACCCTGTTAATGTTTAATTCATCAAGATTTATGTTGGGCAGAACAAACTTGTGTTTAATTTCTTGCAAATAATTGGAAGTTATTCTTTGCTTTGGATTTTTGTAAGTTTTTGTATAGTAGCTTATGGAAAATTGAAGACTTTTCCTTCATGTGTTTAAACATGCGGAAGATGTTTTAAATATAGTATCCTGATGACCTCTGCGCTTCTGAGATTAAAGACTCTTGGATTGTAAATTTACACAGTGCTGTTCTCTTCATGGAAGTGAAAATACCTCACAGCTTTATGAAGCCTTAACAGAGTAATCAATCTCAGAAACTTACTACTAGAACTTTATTTTTGTATTTATTACATGTCTTTTATAATTCAATTTTAATTATGCTGACGTACTTGCATCCTGTTTATCTCAACAACATCTTAAAACTACAGTGAGATTGGTAAAGGCATTTGGCCTAGCAGTGTTGACACTTTCCTCTGTTGAATGTAATTTTGTTCCAAGAGGCAGTGCTCCCGAATTAAGAGAGGTAGACTCACTGTTTTATTAAGGTTTGCATGGATAATAGTAACTTCATGGGGGAAGAGCAAAGTTCCTGAAACTACAGAATTTCTGTGTCCGTTATCCATCAGATGGATGGAAGCTAATAATCCATTTTCTTTTTTAAAAAAAAAAAAAAAGAAAGAAAAAAAAGGTGGCAAAATGGTGCATTCATTCTACTACTTTTATTGATGTTCTGCCATCATTTGAGGGGGAAATGGTATGCTTGGGTTACCTAAGGTGCATTTCAGAAGGGCTCTTTTTATGTAAATGGATTTCTTCCTTATCAATGTTATGGTATTTTATGTATCAAGTACTGTAATACTTTTGCACCAATGGTGGATTATTCTGAGAATAGCTCATTCTAGAAATCTGTTTAAATTAATTTTAAAGTTTGATTTTTTTTTTTTTTTCTTCCTTTTTAATCTGAAGCTGATGTAGTTTGTTTTTTCTATAGAAGAGGGATGGTCAAGAACATCTACAGCTCCTTGGTGAATACAGGAGGTAGATAGTATGGGAGGTCAGAGTCATGGGAGATTGGTCTGATTTATGGTGCACTGTCCTTGAACTATTTTGATGGCCTCTAAGATGAGAAAATTTGCTTCTGAGTGCAGTATTTTTGCAATATACTGTTGCAGGTTAAAATTATTATTATTTTTACCAGATCGTTTTTTGCTGTTCCTAGAGGCATCATAATTTGAAGCTGTAGACGGTGGATTTGAGGCCATATGAGAATCTGAATTTGATTTTTGTATAGCTCTTGAGATTTCTGAGGAAAGGTTGTAACATGTACTTTAGAATTCAGGCCTTTAAAACCTTTAACCTTGACTTCAAAATTGACTGGTAAATAAATTAAATTCTTATTTGGTGTATATGTTTTGTAAACTGACTCTGGAATTCTTTAGACTGGTGTTACTGGTGATTGTTCTGGGTTGCTGGAAATCTCCTTCCAGTATCCTTTTACCAGATAACACTGAAGCAATATACAACTTTCATTAGTATACCTGAAAGTGTTCGGGGTTTTTTTTATACTGAGTGGAGATGTTTTAATTACATCTTGCATATCTACAATTATGTTGGAAACTCACTTTGTCAAGATAGTAATTGGTACTGTCTGTTAGAAACAATTGTCTGTGTGTGCCAAAACACAAGGAGTGATTTGATGCTATATACACGATACAATAGCTTTCTTCTTTTTTGCTGACAGGTACTAGTGTTTTCTAACATTTTGGGGGGGAAATGTAAGTCTGTATTTTTTTAAGTAACAAACATGGTATCCTTTTCTGCCTTAGTAAGGACTTCCAGATATCTATATACTATTTCAAAAACATTAATAAGCATTTCTAATTGAATAATGAGTACACTTCAAAAGAATCATAATAAATCAATATTTATTTTTAGGTGTAGCTTAAGGTTGCATCTACTGCTTGAACTGATGGTTGGCTTGTATTACGCAATTCTGTTTCTTGTCATTTTAGCACTTTTAATGTTAGCCATCTGGTTATGAAGATGCAGTGTAAATAAGGTCTCCATGCATGTATTCATGGTATTTTCATGTGCATATTCATATCAAATATGACAAAAGAGAGCATCTCAGATGTGAAAATACTGTGCATTCAGGACGAGATGCATTAAAATGGCCGTGAGTCATACTCTTCCCTGGAGACAATAGTTCCAGGCAGTCCCACGGGTTGCGATGCAATGTCACTGCAAGCGTGCTTTTTCCATTTAAGTACTTTTTATAAAAGAGAGTGTTATTAACTCAAAAATCACTCAAACCCACTTGCTACTTTAATACTGTAAAGTTCTTGCTGCCTTACCAGGCCTCTTAAAAAAAAAAAAATTAGAGAGAAATTAGAGTAGAATTTCTTTGCCACTTCTATTTTAAACATCTAGTTTATACTGAAGTCTCATTTTCTTTTGAATTCATGCATTGGCTTTTCAAAAATAGGTTTCTTTTGACAAGCGCTTGCAGCCTTTTGATGCGCTGTCCTTGCCAGGCTTGTGATTGTGACACTGCACGTTGCTTCAAAAAGACAGCCTTACCCATGCATATTTTTAATAATGTAAACCTAATGAGGTTGCTGCTTTGCGTCTGGCCTGTGGATTTAAATTGTAAAACCTGTCACCCGTCTTCTGGGCTGTGCAGCCGCAGCAGCTCGGGCCTTCAAGAGCCCAAACTGACCCTGGCTGAGGAGAAAGCAGAAAACCCAGCTGCCGCCATGCTGCATGGACATTTCAACTGATTCCCAATGTAAGCTTGTACGTTTTTCGTGTCCGAGGCTGGTGACTGTAGGGCGGTGAGGCGATGGCC